GGGCTCTGCAACGCGCAGGCCAGGAAAGGCGGGGATAGCAGAGCCTTGGTCCTGGCCTTCCTTCACAGGCCTTGCGGAGAGCAAGGTGGCCTGCATTGTCCTCCACATGCTCTGCTGTTATATCATTGGTTCTGAGCCAATCACATGCTTCAGGGTGGCAGCCGAGCACCTGTAGCGGTCAGGAAGAGTTCCCCCCCCCCCAATGCACAACTGGCCAGATGGCTTCTGTTTTTTTCTTTCCCTGCTTTCCTCTGCAGCATCAGGGATCAGCCACAGCTGGGAACAGGACACCGGGCGGGGTTACCCCCTACTAGGGAGCTCTTTCTGGCTGCCTGGCTGGTGGGTCTTGCGCACGTGCTCAGGGCAGGCTGATCGTCAGACTTGGGGTGGGACAGGGCCGGCAGTGGACAGTATGGGGGACACCCAGGGCCTGGAGCCACCCAAGGCATGGAGATGCTGTGGACACCGACGGCTGTAATGCCAGACTGGGCGCCGGGATCCCATCGCCTGGGGAACGGGCCCTGCTGTGTGTGCGTGGGGGCGGGGGGGGCAGCGCTGGGAGATGTCCCAGCTGTTGCCAGCTGGCGGGAGGGGTGGGGGGAGGGCAGGGAGCGTCACCCAGAGCTGGAATCCCTTCCCTTCCCCTCACTCTGTGGGCAGACGGAGGCAAAAGTACTCAAAACAAAATACAAAACTACTTAAGACACTACTCAAGACACTACTCAAGATTGTTAAGTCTCTGGCAGACTGCGAAGAGCTACAAAAGGATCTCACAAAACTGGGTGACTGGGTGTGACGAAGTGGGGGGGGGGTTCTTGTTTTCTGTGGGGTTTCAATGGTTTGCATGCGGAGGGGGTGGGACTCAGTTTCTCTGGGTGTTACTGGTTTAACAAGGTGAGGGGAGAGGGAGTTTGTTGTTACAGAGGACCAGAGAGGGAACTTGGGACCCCAGCCAATGGCCTGGAGGATGGATACCCCAGCGACCGGTGACCTGGCAACCTGGTGACCTGGAGGCCCAGCTCAGGAGTTGCAGCCAGTTCTGGCCAGTGGGAGAACAATGGGCTGCAGAGTGAGGACCCCGTGACCTAACCAGCCGGTTCCAGCCAGAGGACAGAAGCGAGGAGAGGAGGCCCCAGTTTACGACCCTGTTTACCTGGAGAGAAGACAATGGACAGAGGGGGCTTGGGGCAGGGGATATCAGATGCCCAGCTGGGAAGCAGGGGGGCTCTGGGCTGGAGAGGGGGAGCAGGCAGAGCCCACCTGGATGCAGAGAGACTGGGGTGTGCTGGGCTGAGGGAGGCCAGGCCTGAGGCCCTGAGAGTTTCCTGTGCTGTGTTCAACTCTCAATAAACCCTCCTGTTTTACGCTGTCTGAGAGTCACTCTGGTCTAGAGAACAGGGTTGCATCAACCCCTTCGGGGGTGGTGGAGGCCCGAGGGGGCCAGAGCGAGTGGACTCCCTGAGGGGGCCCACGGCAAGAAACAGGTGTGCTAAGGCTCAGAGAGGTGCGGCTCCAGGAGGTGGAGGGGCCTGACCCCGGGAGAGAGTGGACCCCCGAGAAGGGCTGTCTCACTAAAAGGGGCACCCCCCACAGACCGCACGGGGCCAAGAGTGGGCACGATCTGTGAGTCCGTGACACTGGGCAACAGAATGGCAGATGAAATTTATTGTTGATAAATGCAAAGTAATGCACATTGGAAAACATAATCCTAACTATACATATACAATGATGGGGTCTAAATTAGCTGTTACCACTCAAGAAAGAGATCTTGGAGTCATTGTGGATAGTTCTCTGAAATCATCCACTCAGTGTGCAGCAGCGAACAGAATGTTGGGAATCATCAAGAAAGGGAGAGATAATAAGACAGAAAATTGCCTCTATATAAATCCATGGTACACCCACACCTTGAATACTGAGTGCAGATGTGGTCGCCCCATCTCAAAAAAGATATATTGGAACTGGAAAAGTTTCAGAAAAGGGCAACAAAAATTATTAGGGGTATAGAACGGCTTCCGTATGAGGAGAGATTAATAAGACTGGGACTTTTCAGCTTGGAAAAGAGACGACTAAGGGGGGATATGATAGAGGTCTATAAAATCATGAGTGATGTGGAGAAAGTAAATAAGGAAGTGTTATTTACTCCTTCTCATAATACAAGAACAAGGGGCCATCAAATGAAATTAATAGGCAGCAGGTTTAAAACAAACACAAGAAAGTATTTTTTCACGCAACGCACTGTCAATCTGTGGAACTCCTTGCCAGAGGGTGTTGTGAAGGCCAATACTATAACGGGGTTCAAAAGGAAGTTAGATAGATTCATGGAAGATAGGTCCATCAATGGCTATTAGCCAGAATGGGCAGGAATGGTGTCCCTAGCCTCTGTTTGCCAGAAGCTGGGATTGGGTGACAGGGCCTGGATCATTCCCTCTGGGGCACCTGGCATTGGTCACTGCCAGAAGGCAGGATACTGGGCTTGATGGACCTTTGGTCTGACCCAGTCTGGCCATTCTTATGTTCTTGGCACACACCGGCTGACGTAGGCCCACGGGGATTCTCCTGCCCAGAGCTGGGGACACTGTGTAGGCCTGGGCACCAGGTGAGTGGGGGGATACGGGGTGGGACAGGCCCATAGGTCTGATTGGGGGGTGGTGATATAGGATGGGAAGGGCCCATGGGTCTGATGGGGGAGGATATGGGGCGGGACGGGCCCATGGATCTGATCTGGGGTGGGAAGGATATGAGGCGGGATGAGCCCATAGGTCTGAACGGGGGTGGGGGATATGGGGCGGGACGGGCCTATTGGTCCGATGGGAGCGGAGGATACGGGGCTGTACCTGCCATGGGTCTGATCGGGGTGGGAGGGAGAACACGGGGCGGGATGGGCCCATGGGACTGGTCAGGGGTGGGGTAGGGAAGCAGGTTACGTGGCAGGGGTGGTCAGGCATCGGGGCACCTCAGTCCCTCCTGTTCTCTGCCTTGGCACTCGGCAGCTGAGTCTACTGAGGCCTGAAATGCTCCAACCTAAAGTTACGG